AGCCTTGCGAAAATCACTGTAGTCTCACAATTTAATAATTTAGTATTGGCTGATAGATGTTCGACCGAATAATATAATTTGTTCAATCAACTGTTCATCTAATTTCCATTAATGTATGTTACATTGATAATATGTTTATGGGTTTCTTCTCTGAACGTATAGTGTTGAGGACTACTTCAGTTGAGGATAAGTAACATACATAATGATGATATTATTTTGATATTATTGTCATTATTATTCCTTCAGATCATTAAAAAGAGTTATTATGTTTCACATTAAACATAGAGAAAGAGGTATGGATATTGTGGAGATTATTTTTTAGCATCTACATTATTAACATAATTCTTAAAGATATTATGTTTTGTTTATGGTCTCATGCCGCACTCAGCAACTTAAGGATATTATAACATACATTTAGGTTCAGTTGTATTATTAAATTTGTTTTATTTTGCATATGTTACAGAGACCTTATAAAGTAATGTAAAAATGTATAGTCGCTATTCTTAAAAGTAAGCATATGTTAGATTTATCAACAGGAAATATTGCACACCAAAGGATAATTATATATCATGACACTATTCTATGTCGAAGTCAACTATATTTGTGTTTGCTATTGCTACATTGGTTATGACACGGATACGTCATGATAAAGCAATGAGAAATTGACATTTGATGATATAAGACAGCTACGCGACAAATCGCAAAGAACAAAGAAGGAGGAAGCGATATTTATTTCACGATAAAACCTTGTTCTATCATTTATGGAGATTCGAACATGCACTCGCAACTTGAGGACGTCGTAACTTTGATGTTATTTGTGAGAGGGAAGTGTCCAGTGAGTTGTTCCTTATAGATGTAGCAGGGTAAGGTAGATAAATGCAATGCCCGAACAATCGCATCAGAAAGTGAGAGCGAAATGTTAATCGGTATTGAGAGAAAAGGTACAGACGAGAAAATTGTGAGAATATGCGGGAAAGACCAAATTCAAATACACATTGAGCCCGTGTCACGTAGTTACTGATCCTAATACCCCCATTCCGCACGGCGCTCCGTGAGAGCGCCATAGAGCGCCATATAGAGCGCCAACATCGCCAAAAGCTCTAACGGATCGCTAACAGATCGCTAACTTATCTCCATGATCGCCCAGGTCGCCGCCGGTTGTCTCCCCTGTACAAAGATCCGTGGCGCTCCGCCCAGAGCGCCATCAGATCGGTAATTGATCGCCTAGATCGCCATCGGAGTGCTACTTGATCGCCTAGATCGCCATCGGAGCGCAACTTGATCGCCAAGGTCGCAATCGGAGCGCTATCGGATCACCATAGAGCGCCGCCGATCGCCACAAAAGCTGGCCTACCGATCTTCGGCGCTCCATGGCGATCTGATGGCGCTCATCGGAGATGCATTGGCGCTCCGATTGCGCTCCGATGGCGCTCCGATGGCGCTCTGATTGTGCTTCACTGTTTGGTTCACGATTTGGAGCGCCACCCTGTGGCGCTCTGTGGCGCTCTGTGGCGCTCCAGGGTCTCACCAATAAAAGCCTTCCTTCTCCTTCTTCTTCGAGGCTGCTGGGCCAGAATAGCAATCTGCTGGTTCACGATGGCATGGTTCACGAGATTGTAAATCACTTGTAATATGGCAGCATTTCTATGGTTCATGGTGATACCCGTCTGCTACCAAGCACAGAACTGAAGAGCGCGGCTGAACGACACAGGTTTTTATAGGATCGGGCCCCTTTGCGGCGACCAGGTCGCAATCGGATCGCCTAGAGCACTAATTGAGCTCTAACGGATCTTCATATATCACACTCGATCGCTATCGGATCAGAGAAGAGCGCCATAGATCACAATGATCGCCATCGGATCGCCAATAGAGCACCATTGGAGCGCATCCTGATCACATCGGATCGCGAATGGAGCGGGAACTGATGGTGGAGGATCGCCACATATTGGGGTGGTTGGGTGGCGATCAAGCGCCATCAAGTCGCTATCGGATCACATAGATCGCTGTTGGATCGCTATCTGATCGCAATCGGATCACAAGTACCCCTATATCGCCTCATTATATGGCGATCTATGGCGCTCCTTCAGATCACCGTGGATCGCCGCCTAGTGGAATGGGGGTATTAGGCATTTCGTTGAATACTTGCTTTACGGATCCGCTGACCCAAGAAGTGAAATAATTGCGAATTAATAATTTTCCTGCACAAAGGGGAAGCATAACCGTTGATTTATGACACAAGACACACTGGCTGCATTGTGAGTCGATGAAATTCGTATTCCGAATTGAGAAATCATGAGAATAGAATCAACGAGCCCGAAGGTGAGAGTTGATTCTATTTCCGGAAGGAACATATTCGAGTGATTTCTCTCACTTAAAGCATGTTTTTGTTTGTTTCTTAATTTCTCTATAATTTTGCATAATGGCCTATAGCTGCGTCAGTTTTAGTTGTTAAAATGCGCTTTCAGAATGGCCAGTAAATTCCTAAAAGAACAACAGCGTGACGTCATCATCGTGGTTTAGCACAAGAAGCATTGCTAGTGGATGAACTTCGTAGTGGTTCCGTCCAATGGGCAGTCTGGAAGTGGGTCAATGGAAATAAAAAAATAAAATATATATTATATTTTTAGTCATTTAAAGATGAGATTTCTCCATCCACAATGCACGACAGGCGTATATTGAAAATATGCAAACACGTTTGTAATAATGATTTTAGTCATTCTGAATTTTTGTTTTGTTGTAAAAAATATAACAAGTTCAACCACTGACCATAATATTTCAGAAAGCAATAAATTAAAAAAGTATGCCTGACAAAATAAGTTAAACCTTAACTATTTTCTATTGCAGCCGGAAGCAAGCTTTCGGGCCCTCAACCACGACCACAGCAAGCGGCCCCACGGCAAGCGGCCCCACGGCAACCACCACGTGTGTAAATATTTTGGCTCACGGGAGATATTTGAAATGTATAAATTTGATGTTTTTTGCCAAGATGTAAGAAAATGTATTGTTCTGTCTTTCAGCTCCCGCAATGACGCGTGCTACAGGCATACTAATCAGCGACGATGGAGGCTCTACGAAGTTTAACTCTGCTTAGCAATGTAAATGGCTCCACGCAGACACATACGACCTCATTGTGTAGGCCTAAACATTGCGTTGTTAGATTAACGTTGTCTTCGGTCCAGATAATATTCAGCATGTTAGAATTTACTTTGCTTGAAACATTAAATGAATCAAAATATTGAATTTTAATGTTTGTTATATGTTCGATGTACCAGGACCCGTGTTCAAAAAATGAATTTATGGATGTTAATACAGCCGGTAGTCGGTGAATGAGTAAGTTTGGTTCAATATCTATTTGATTGTTTGTTTGTTTGTTTGTTTGTTGTTTAACGCCGCACTAAGCAATATTCCAGCTATATGACCGCGGTCTGTAATTAATCGAGTCTGGACCAGACAATCCAGTGATTGATATCATGAGCATCGACCCACGCAATTTTCGATCGATTATATGCATCAACCAAGTCAGCGAGCCTGACAACCCGATCCCGTTAGTCGTCTCTTACGACAAGCATAGTCGCCTTTTACGGCAAGCTTGGGTTGCTGAAGACCTTTTCTACCCCGTCTCTTTGAACAGGTCCGGTTTTACATCTTTCGCCACTTTAGTGAGCATATTTTGTTGTGTTATAATTGAGTCCAATCAAGGATTCAAACTCACCATTACCCCGTGTTAACCTGAAGACGCCCTTCCTGGACTTAGTCATAAATTAAATTTGGTAATGTTAATTTAGGACTGCGGGGATGGAACGTATGGGCTAAATTATAGTTGAGTCAGATCACTTTAATGAATAGTATATCATGAATTTGGATATACGCGATTCTGATTGGTTAATCAGAGGTTTGATATAACATTAATCAACTGTTTGAGACAGCTGGCGTGACGCAGCATCGCGGAAGCTGATATAAAGATGAAAAGAACTTCATTCTCAGTTGTCGGGAAGCATATATTTGGATTTCAAATCATGATATGTACAATAATTATATGTGACAAAATATAGAGCTGCAAGTTACAATATTAAAAGTTTGGGTGGTGATACAGCTTGGTGGAAAATGCGATAGAAATCGACAAAGAGTGTATTTCAACAGAGATCTTAAAATGTGACGTCATATACACCATGAAAGCGTAAAGGTTTGGTTTGGTTTGTAGTTTAACGCCGCACTCAGCAATATTCCAGCTATATGACGGCGGTCTGTAAATAATCGAGTCTGGAACAGACAATCCAGTGATTAATATCATGAGCATCGATCCACGCAATTGGGATCGATGATATGCATCAACCAAGTCATCGAGCCTGACCACCCGATCCCGTTAGTCGCCTTTTACGACAAGCATAGTCACCTTTTACGGCAAGAATGGGTTGCTGAAGACCTTTTCTACCCCGGAATCTAAAACGTTAATCTCTGCCGCGCGACCACGAATGTAATTGGCTCATTACTACACCAGAACAGTCAGACCACAGTTCGAGTATGATGCTACACTAGGACAGCCAGACCACAGTTCGGGTAAGTTGCTACACCGGTATAGCGAGGAATGGTTCGGGTATAATGACACACCAGTACAGCCAGACCATGGTTCGGGTTTGTTGCTACACCAGGACAGTCAGGCGACGACTCGGGTATGATGCTGCACCAGGACAGCCAGGCCAGGGTTCGGGTTTGATACTACACCAGGACAGTCAGGTTATTGTTCGGGAACGATGCCACACCAGGACAGCCAGGCGCGCGACGACTCCGGTATGATGCTGCACCAGGACAGCCAGGCCAGGGTTCCGGTTTGATACTACTCCAGGACAGCCAGGTGAATATTCGTGTACGATGCAACACCAGGACAGCCAGGCACGCGACGACTCGGGTATGGTGCTGCACCAAGGCAGACAGGCTGTATGTGCAGCAGTCATACATACAAACACAGAATACATTATTCCTTGTGAAAGTTAACTTGAATAAAAAATGATTAATCTTATTTGCTCCTCCTGTCAAAAAAAGTTAACTACGGCCTTGTTTACGGACACTTGTACACCTGTGAGGTCCCTTGACAGTCAATCGTAAACTCGATGACAGCGCCATGATCGCTAAGGAGCTTGGACCATAAGATGTCACGTGATTCACCTTCACCTTGTTTACCACCGACGAGACGGTTACCTTCGAACGTATTTGAGCTTTTTGTGGATGTGGATGTGTGTTCAAGGTATTATACCAGTGAGTTGCTTTGGTAAGATATGTGACATGTGCGATGTATCTCTCGGAAATTAGGCCTATGGTTGTTGTTTTTTTGGATTGTTTTCAGAATATAGAACGACCCCGAATGTTTCATATCGTACAGCCTTCTTGAGGTCTCCGATGTTTGATCAACAGCGGACTGGATTCTATAATAAGGAGCTTTTGAAGAGCTTTTGAAGACAATAGTGTGTATTGTCTGAGCTGGCAAATGTACTTCCAGTGCAATGATTTATTACCTCCGACCTTAAGCCCGATAGAAAACAACTCACTAAATATACAGCGTTATGTTGTTTTGGTGATGAGTTATCTCCCGTACGCTGAAGGTCGTATTATTGCGAAAGATCACAGATACAGCGCTAGAAACTAACAGTTTCAGTCTACTAGTCCTTATAATGATAACATATAGCAAAACCTTTAAAAATGGCAAATTTCTACTAGTCCTTATGATACCTTAACTATCGGGCAGTTCGACAAGGACCACAGGACTAGTGCCAATTTCTAATGCTGAGATATCGGATTTGCTTATGTCAATTCAGCCATAATGTTGTATACCTTCAAATGTACATGGGCCTTGACTTTGGTCCGTGTTTTTACACGCAATTACTATTTCGTAGGCTGATATAATTATACAAGGGCGACATTAGCCTGAAAATAGTTTTTGCTTAGCCACACTGAAGCTTAAAATCTTGTCTTTTGAGGAAAGTCGCTTTGAAATATTACAGAAATTGCAACTTCTCAGTTTATTATTAAACACAAACAATTCATACATAATTCATACATAATTCATACATTATGCCCTCAGTAGAAACATTGTCATTGCACTGTGTACATGCTTTCCCAATCATGATTTGTCCACGCAAATCAGGTATATATAGGCTTTATGTTTTACACCAGGAATACAATTCCAACTGGCAGGCATGATTTAAAACCTGTGTTAAGGTCTGAATTATCAATAAGTAGTTAACAAATCTGACCTAGCCATGACAATATGTCTCTTTGAAATAAAATATAACGATGCTGTAAGTAGGGTCTTGCACTAGTAATGTGTATGATAAAGATTGTAAGAAAAGGATGAATAGTAGTTAAAAGGCATACAGCCAGCCTTCTCTAAATAATGAGATAGTTTATAGTAAAAATGTATAAAAACACCCTCTCCATAAAGAGCACAAAACGCTATGGAGATGTTTTTAAAGTTAAAAGGGCGTGTCATTTCTTTGTTCTCAGAGCTAAACACATAAGAAACCTAATGGTTTTTGTTTGCCTATAAATGCCTAAAGAGTTGATCAAGGAAAAACAACCTCAACATGAAGAGAGCATCAACTGTTTACCCACCAAACACCTGTTAAAGCGACTTAAAACGTATACAGGGGCGGTGGGGTAGTCTAGTGGTTAAAGCGTTTGCTTGTCACGCCGAGGACCCGGGTTCGATTCCAACATGGGTACAAAGTGTGAAGCCAATTTCTTGTGTCGTTCGCTGTGATACTGCTGGAATATTGCAAAAAACGGCGTAAAACCATACTCACTAGAAAGTGTACATACTCGGCAGGATAAAGCAAAACGCCCTAATTGCTGATAATCTGCTTTCAAAAAACGTTACCCCGAGGATGAATTTATCGATACTATTTCTATGTGTAAATCAGTTTTAGAGCAGGCAGCTGAGGGGCATATTTGTAAAACCAAATTACTCTGTAATTTCAAGGTATTACCGCTGACGTGATTTATGTTATACTTGAGTTCACCAATGTTTGATTTACTTGTGCAATTGTGTCTGATACGGCTGAATCAGTTCTGAATTTTCAACATTAAATACAAATTTACAAACGCAAGGCAGTACTAAATAACGTGATTTCAGCATTTTCAGCACAGCCAACTGAAATTGGAGAATTTTATCTTTTTATCTTTTCAGCTTTCAATTTAAGATTGATACATATGTAATACGAAAGACATGTTTAGAGCTTTCTATCCTTTAGTGTCTAAGCGTTTAAAATAAGTTTTAAGTGTAAATATTTGTATCTATGCAGTGGGTTATTTTCACAGTTAAGCTTTTTAGTCACCCGGAGTTCCAGAGCTCAACGTCGCTCTCGTATTTCAGTTTCTAAAAAAACGGCTCGTAATTTCAAAAACACAACATTAAAAACACACAGATGTGAATAACAACTTAAGGCATTTCATTTTCAAAAATGATTTTCAGAAATGTATTTCGAGAGCCAGTCTGGGCTGAAGATTTTTCATTTTTCAACTCGAGGGTTAAGCTTACGAGAGCGCTGTTGAGCTTTTGAGCTTCTTATCTTTTGATGATAAATAAGGAAAGTTGATATATTGACAAAATTCTTTCCATATACATAAATCTCTACAATTCCGATTACATCATGAGCATGTGTTTATGAATCACTATCAAATAGAGATTATACTAGGTTTTCGCGAAAAGATGCGTGTATCCTGTCCCACGTGTGGCACCCGTCACAAACACCTGCAAAGGAAAGTCAACTGTTCACCTGAAAAGCACGGAAACTTATCGTACAAGTGAAAATAGGGAATTGCATAGGTCATCATTTTTGTCACTTTTGCGTAAGATTTGGAAATGTCCACCACATGCCTACCATAAAACAGTAATCTGTAAAAGTACATCTATGGAAATAACCTGTAACGGGTATCACCTATAAATAAGGAATAGTATGTCACTGAAAGGTTATAACGACTGCCATGGTAGTTTTACAAGATACCCTGGTTGGTAAACAAACTGGTTCATGTCATCACCAGAAGGCCCGGGTTCGATTCGAAGGGTACAATGTGTGAAGCCCATTTCTGGTGTCCCCTGCCGTGATATTGCTTTTATATTGCTAAAGGCGACGTACAACAAAAGTCACCCCCTCATGAATAGTAGTGTGTATTTTGAATGAGATCTCATAGACGAAGCGCACGTAAAATTTGATTATGCTAATGAGGGGGTCAGTTAATTCGTTGGGTTCATTTTTTATCGAGATGAGATATTTGTTTTCAGCTTCAGCTACAAAACCAGATATTTTTTTAATTGAAACTGTCAGCCTGAATCCTGTATGAGAAAAACAACTCGCAACAATGTAATTTTTGTGACAGGCATTTTTTTCTGAAGCATAATTATTTCTTTCGATACAATCCCAGCCCACCCACCAACAGAATAACAAATGGTCGGTCCCAAAGTTGGCTTCTTGTATTGTTCGCATTGTGATTCTCATTTAGGTTACATGTAATTCTCATTTGATACCCATACAGAACCATTATTATATTTATAATCGACTAAAATAAGGGTCGTGTGGTTACTATTTAAAATTGAGGTCTTAAGTAATCTATGATGTTAGGGGGACGGTCGGGTAGCCTAGTGGTTAAAGCGTTCGCTCGTCACGCCGAAGACCCGGGTTCGAATCCCGACATGGGTACAATGTGTGAGGCCCATTTCTGCTGTCCCCCGCCGTGATATTGCTGGAATATTGCTAAAAGCGGCGTAAAACCATACTCACTCACTATGATAGTAGGTTCGAATCTCAACTCGCCTTGATTATGTTTCTAGGTTCGTCAGCACCATACCCTGGGTTTCACCAATTTGGTAAACGTCTGAGACATGCATCAATTCGCTGTGTCCCCCCACATCAAGCCGACACGTCGTGATATAACTGAAACACTGTTCAAAGCGGCGTTAAACCAAACTCACTCACTCATCATACTCTGACGGCTCGGTAGTTCGTGCCGTCAATCACTGATCGTCTCACACGAGATTATACAGTTCGCGTGACTGCTAATGCGCCTTAAAACAACATTCGGTCATTCCTCATCTGAACGTTTATGTTTTCTTTATCAGATCATCTACTGCTGCTATGGCTGCTAATTCCGGGTTTGTTGAAAACTGGCAGAGTGGGAGGAATGTAGCAGAAAGCAATCTCCACATGCTGAAAACAGAGAAATACTGTGACGTCCACTTCCGGGTTGGCAAACAGGAGACGCCCATTCGAGCTCACAGCTACGTGCTCATCAGTCGCAGCTGTGTGTTTGAAGCCATGTTGCGTGGCCCTCTGGCAGAGAGAGACGTCATCAGGATATCAGATGTAGATGCAGACACATTCTCCGAGATGTTAACGTAAGTGGATTTTAAATATAGTTATACTGCATCAATTGATATATTATACTGATTAGCTTTTGGAGAACATGTTTGCATCCCTCTTATGAGTGAGTGAGTTTAGATTTAACGTCACATCGGCAGTATTTCAGCCAAATCGTGACGACCCTCTTATAAAGCTATAATAAATACCCCTACCCACCTCCAACCTCCCCACCCACCCACCCCCGTCGTCTATTATTTGGGATAACATATTTTCCAGCTGAAACAGTCTTCTGGTTCCAATAACTATATTGAGAGCGCTCAGAGGCTCTCTTGTATGAGGCTGCGATTTTGAATCTTAATATTTGTTCGTATTCAGAAATTTTGATTTGGTTGATTTCAAGCTCATGAGTTAGAGATTTCTGCAATGAATACGTCTTTTTCTGTGACTTAAATGGAAACTTTCATTTACAGGTTCTTGTATACAAACGACGTTCATCTGACACTGGAGAACGTGACTGGGTTGCTGTACCTGGCCAAGAAGTACGCTGTGAGGGGTCTAGAGACTCTGTGCCTCACCTACTTAGAGGAGTGTCTGACACCTGAAAATGCGTGCCTCATCCTCGAGCATGCGCACAGGTTTGACGAAAAGGATCTCTACGACAAAGCATTCGATCGTGTTATTGCGTTTGGTGACGTCTCCTTTGGATATGAAAGCTTCACACAGTTGTGTCATGACTGCTTTGACAAAGTCATCCTGGTTGACGAGCTTTCTATCAAAGCTGAAAACGTGTACCAGTCTGCCATGGCATGGGTGGAGGCCGAATGTGGCCGAAAAGGAAGGGAGATCACTCCCAAGAACCTCAGATCGATCTTGGGTGAAACAGTCTACGGGATTCCCTTTATCAGTATGGAGAAGGACTATTACGTTGACAACGTTGTGCCAAGGGGGATTTTGACAGATGCGGAAAACGTAAAAATTATGTCATGTTTACTGTGTCCTGAGAAAGACCCGTCTCCATTCATCCGGAGATCTGCTAAACCAACTCACAGCGTTATGTTTTATAAAGACCACCGGAAGATGCCCCAGACAAGGAAGCGGTCATTTTGGGGAAGAACTGATGTTTCCTGTTCCCACGACGGCATTTTGTATGGCGTCTCCTTATATGGACACGACCAGAATAAAGAAATAGTCTATCACATCAGAATCTGTGATCGGGCAGCAGACTTTATGGACGTTAAACGCGAGACAGTTTTTTCAGCCAAGACAGAACCATCGGGAAAGCATAACATTTTCCAATACTGGCTTCGTGAACCCCGATTTTTCAAGCGAAATACCCAGTATTTCATATACGTCGAAATGGAAGGAGGTGCTCCTACACATGAAGGGGATCCAAGAGACGTTGTTGAGAGTATAGCGGTGGAGCAATGTACCGTCCACAAGCTGGGTGATATAGTGTATTCCAGCGGCCACATAAACATAACCCACGGCTTGGTAATTGGTATATGAAATAAACACTCGTGATAACCAAGAACAAAGATGGGAGGCGAAATTCAATGCTATATTAGTGTAATCGCCTGGAATTTTAGAAAAGTTATACGAGGCTAGACATGAGATATTGTGAACGAACGGATCAGTGTCCAGTGAAACCTTTTGGATTAACGAGAGTCCCGAGTGAAGAATTATTGTCCTTTATCAATGCATTGACTCAGAATAGGGTGCTTCTGGATTAAGGGGGTTTTGTAGGAGTGGTGGGCCTAATTTCTGGGCTTCCTCTTTGTTTTAATGCTTGATTCTCATGTTATACACAGGATTAAGATGTCATTACGAAATTGTTTAGCTTTGCGTCTGTGATAAAGAAATTAATCACAATTGTGTTTCATGTTTTGAAAGTAACAAATATTAACTGCATTTGTCTCCTGAAATGTTCGCTAGTCAATTACTGAGTAACACCTAGGATTCCTAAGTATTGTGTTCGTGGAATTATTTCCGCCATTCACCTACGTTTATATGATACTCACAGAGTCTCAACTGGATTGCAGTGATTTCAGATTTCATGCAGAGTAAAAGATCTGATATGGATGAGATTGTCGAACCAGCTACTTGGTTGCAATGAAACACAAGCCCTTTTTGAGACACCTTTATGTGTCAACCTGTCACAGGATTAATTACGGACCGCCCCCGTGGTCTAGTGGTAGAGCGTCCGCCCGGAGAGCGGAAGGTCCGGATTCGATCCCCGGCCGCGTCATACCAAAAGACGTTTAAAGATGGTACTTGTTGCTACCCTGTCTGGCGCTCGGCTTTAAGGGGCTAAAACAAGGACTGGTCGGCGTGGTATCTCAGGAGGGCTGGCACTATAAATCGGCATCAGTACAAACAGCCATAAACACACACGCGCATGCACGTCGCTATATTAGTGCAATAATCTTGGACGCGACGTTAAACCCAATTTCACCTCACCTCACCTCACCTCACCACACCTCACCTCACATGATTGGAAACACTATTACGATGAGCATTTCTTATGAATACAAGTACATTGATACCATCATTAATTTGAAACTTTCGAAAAAGAAAGAGAAATGATTGCGGTTAGGGAATCTGAACAAGTCGAAATACAATAGCCCAAAACGTTAACATTGCAAACAAAGTACTTGACATTTCTCCAAATAGTATCGGAATTCATTATGAGCAGCATAGGAGACACGTGAAGATCCGGGGTAGATCCGGGGTCTTCAGCGCCCATGCTTGCTGTAAAAGGCGACTGTGGTTGTCGTAAGAGGCGACTAACGGCATCGGGTGGTCAGGCTCGTTGACTTGGTTGATGCATGTCATCGTATCCCAATTGCCGGCCTATTGACAAAGTGCTTTTTTCGCTTCAAAGCGAGATTTGCACCTCAGGGGTCATGGTCACCTGTTCCCATCTAGTGTTTGTTTGTTTGTTGTTTAACGCTGCATTCAGCAATATTCCAGCTGTATGACGGCTGTCTGTAAATAATCGACCAGACAATCCAGTGACTGACATCATGAGCATTTTAAAAAGTCAGTACTTGCGTGAGGGCCCAATTTTGTTGTCATTCTTGTTTTGCTATATTGATGTGAAATGGCTTCACAAATGATGTATTGCGACGTTACCACCACGATAGGTACACGAAGTCAATGATGTTGGAATAGGGTCACCAGTCATCCTTCCTAGTTTTACGAAAATAGTTCTAAATAAAAATATATTGCTTCAGATTGAGAGGCAATAACACTCAGTCGGCTTTTTCGATAGTACACATCCTTCTGATCATAAAAGTCGAGGGCCATATGAACCCGAAATTGTATCTACAATGGAAGGTAGCTCACATATAAGACAAGCAAGCCCATCACCTCAAACCTTCCGAGACATGTTCCATGATAGGAAAACCTCATGAATATTTACGAACCCACGAAACAGTTTTGCGATGTCCGCAGCAGTGAGCTCTGCTGGATAATAGTTTTTACACATGTTTAGGACATTGTACATTCGGCGCATTCTTCGTTACAACTTAGTCAGCTTTTAACACCTTCAATTGTTTCTTTGTGTGTGTTTAGACTGACAGATAATAAACTAAACAAAATATAATAAACTGACATTAAATGTATTTTCATTCTTAAATAGAAGCAACATTAGTTTGTTATTATTGGAGAAATCTGTCCATGTAAACACGGTTATTCCAGAATATAAACACGGCATTTTACAATTTTACGAAAAAGAATGTTATGCTACTGAATCTGGTTCGTAGCTTTTACGTGTTGTTCGTATTTTGTTTGTTGTTTACGCCGCAATCAGCGATATTCAAGTTATATGACGGCAGTCTGAAAACAATTAAACTCGGATCAAGCAATTCACTAATTGACATCTGCATCGATCTGTCCATTTGGGATACGATGATTTGAATCAACACAGTCAGCGATGCTCACCAACCGCCTCTTACGACAAGCAAAGACCAATTCTGACCCGGATCTGCACGAGGTCATAGGTTTAACGGATGTGGTCCATGGGCAAAATTGATCTTTCACGTTAGTCATGTGTCAGTCTTTTTTCACCCATCCTGACTTCCAAGGTGAAAAACCATCCAAATCATTTCTTATCAGATTAGCTACACGAATCACATTTTAACACATGAAGCCCTTTTGTGTTGTTTCTTGTAGTTCCTCTTCAGGTTCATAACTGGTAACGGGCTTTCCACTAACTTTAAACTGACATGCCGTTATATTACGGGAATACAATTCAAAGCGGCGTTAAACCGAACTCACTCACTCATATATCTGTCTTATAATGCAGATACTGATTTTCCAGTAGTCAAAGTAGAAATTAATCTGTTTTGAAAACGACACCCACAGATAATTTTGAGATTTTGTATTGAGACCGGATATTGTTTCAGCTCCATCTGCAAACCAGATATAATTGAAACTATGAGCCCAAGTAGTTTTAGAACACACACATTGCAACAATGTAATTTTAGTCGCAGACTTTTTATATTGTTTTACCAACAACATGATCATGAACCACAATTATATTTTCCAAATCTTTCAGGGACAATTAATCTTTTCCACTGTTTACGTGTCGATTCCTAAACTGAAACCATATGTTAACCCAACAAATATCTCTAAGTTATAGAACTTAGCGTGAAACCGAGAAACAACCAACAAATGGTATACAATCAACAAATGTATCACAAAATTCACTAAGTTAACAAATCAGTAGAAATTACTGCAGATCAATAAACAGTAAGCAATAGAGTGGTAGAACAATATTCATGGCAATATATAATATGATGGCAGCGGTCAGTACCATATACAAAAATACAGAGGTGATAGCAAAAGTCAGTGAAATTGGTATATATTCACCCAGCGGCGACAGTGGTTAAGCTTCCGGGATGTATAGAAAACAAACTAGTACTCAAATACATATCAAATATGTTGCAAAGCTAACAATAGAGCGTCAGAGCATGTGTGTTGAGGACGTGTAACCTAAGTCGTTGGTGTGGTGAACGTCAAGGTCGTCAGGGTGTGGTGACAAACAAGCTATAAAACTGTCTATAAAACTAGCCTAGTGGTTAAAGCGTTCGCCCGTCACGCCGAAGACCCGGGTTCGATTCCCGACATGGGTATAATGTGTGAAGCCCATTTCTGGTGTCCCCGCCGTGATATTGCTGGAATATTTCTAAAAGCGGCGTAAAACCAAACTCACTCACTCACTCTTTGTTTGACGCTGCACTCAGCAATATTCCAGTTAGATGACGGCGGTCTGTAAATAATCGAGTCTTGACCAGACAATCAAATGACTGACATCATGTACATTGATCCACGCAATAAGGATACGATGACAAGCGATAACAAAGTCAGCGAGTCTGACCACCCGATCCCGTTAGTCGCCTTTTATTGCAAGCATGGGTTGCTGAAGATCTGTTCTACCCCGGATTTCACGGGTCCATACAACTGTCACTTTGGCTACTTAGCTGTTGATAAGTCCCTAATCAGTACATCATTAAATTCTATATTGCAAGTCAAGGGTAGTATCACCAAGATCGAACACAACTATTATTGAAACATGTTGAGTGGCGAGATCTAAATGGCTATTTCCCACACGGGATCCTATGTTGATCGATTCATCTTGGCAATCGACACATACAATCGTCACTCCCTGCTATCACTAGATTTGTTTCTTGCTGTTACCAATACAAATCATCATATCTGATAAAAGTAATGGTGTCTTATCGAGTCTATCTGTATGTTATTGGAATTGTGTGTATATATATATAGTGCTAGTCTGATGACTCCATCACATAGACTCTGTCCTTCGTAAAGCTGACAGTATGCAGTCATTCCTTGTGCAAGCTCTGCTGATCGCGCTCTGCGTTATACACGCTGGTGAGTATTAACTATTTCAGAATCTATATTTCTGCAAACCATTGGCTCCAGGACTTGTTCATTATCATCTTGTGGATTGGAGAAACGCTACATGCAATAAGCAACTTAAAAAGATTATCTTTTATATTGTTCAACACATATATGAATGAAGTTATATATATGTTGGTGTATAATGGAATTGAACCGTGTGTGCAGTTGGTACATGCAGTCATATCTAAAAATATGGGTCATATATTTGAACATTTGAAACTGTTCTTCAAAATCTATCAATAACTTGGTTATATGTGTTTGTTTGTTGTTAAACGCCGCACTAGGCAATATTCCAGCTATATGACAGCGGTCTGTAAATAATCGAGTCTCGACCAGACATTCCAATGGTTGACAACATGAGCATCGATCCACGTAATTTGGATACGATGACATGCATCAACCAAGTCAGCGAGTCTGACCACCCTATCCCGCTAGTCACATCATACGGGATTGCTGGCTGTTAAACGAAATGTGAAATGCTTGACTTCCTCTTTGAAAACTTCAGTGTGAACTTTGGGGATAAGACATTTAGATAAGACGTAAATGTGCCCCCCTCCAGCTCATCTGTGTCCCTATGCATACAATTCGGGAGGAATGCTTGGAATGCCAAAATCTAAAGTAACAAGAGCTTGCTACTAACGTGGCTATATCCCCCGCCCCTGTTGCAGAATTTGTAACATAATTAAATCTAAAAAAAACCTAACTTTTTTTAACCGAGGTGGAACTTGTCATAGAAATTGTAAAAAAGAAGAGTTTGGAACCAAAGTCCATCTCGTTGCCATGGAAACGGAAGAAAAAAAACAATTCTAAAAATTCTAACTAGCAAAAGGCACCAGTTGAGCATGTACATGACAGACCAGCAAAGTTTGATGAAACATATTAAACGGTTTATGAGTTATGCTCTGGAAACGAACCCTACCCTTACAGAACCTAAGTCCATCTTG